TTTTTTATCTAATTATTAATTTTTAAAAATATTTATTAAAATATAAATTTTTAGATAAATTATTAAAAAAATTTAAGAAGATAACTTATAAAATACTTTTCTCTACTTTATTTAATTAATTATTTTATTACAAAAATATATCTTTTTATCTCTTATTTATGTTTTAAAGGTAATATAAATAAACACAGAAATTATTCTTATTGTTGTTCCTTATTGTTGCTGAAGGGCTTTCTGGGCGGATAAGATCTGCAATGGAAAAGGACTTGTTTAAAGGTGATGATGTTGGCTCTAATGGACTGTCAATCTCCCATCTCCAACTTACGGATGACATAATTCTATTTGGTGAAGCATCCGAGGAAAACATAAAGGCTGTAAGAAGTATTATATCTAGCCTTAAAGTTAATTACACCAAGAGTATGCTACCCAGGTTGAATGTGGAGGAGGAAATAACACAGTGCTAGGCCTATTTTTTAAATGGTAAAAAAGGCAAATTCCCAATGACTTATTTAGGGATGTCGATTGGAGCTAGCCTCTGAAGGAATGACACATGGAAGGCACTAGTGGACAAAATTGAGAAGAAGCTGTCTGGTTGGAAGATTAAGCTACTTTCCCTTGGAGGACGTATTGTCCTTATTAACTCTCTGCTGTCTAACCTCCTGTTTTCCTTATGTCTACATACCTTTTACCTGCTGGTGTGATTAGGAAAATTGACTGTTTGAGGAGAGGCTTTTATGGGGAGGGTGTGGGGACAAAAGAAAAATTGCATGGGTAAGGTGGAGTAAAGTGTGTAGACCCAAAAAACATGGTGGATTGGGGATAAAGGATCTTAGGATGTTTAATGTGGCTTTACTAGGCAAATGGTGGGGAAGATTAGCTAATGAGAGGGAAGGACGACTTTGGAAGAGAGTGTTGAGGAAGAAATATGGTGGATTAGGGGGGAATTGGGTTAATTGGGTAAGCCAAGGAAGTGGGTTAGGATCTAGATGGTGGAGAGATGTTTGTAAAATTAGTAGGCTTATCGACAGTAAACCAGACTGATTGAAATTGGGGTTTAAACTGGATTTAGGGAAGGGTTCAAATATATCCTTTTGGAAGGATAAGTGGCTAGGATCTGTCATCTTAGGTGAAACTTTTCCCTGTTTTTTTCTTTGTCCACAGATAAGCAAAGCGCAGTGCAAGACATGGGAGTTTGGATTGAGGATGCGTGGAGTTGGAAACCAAAATGGAGAAGGAAGCTACTAACGTGGGAGCAGGATCAAGCAGAACATCAACTACAACTACTAAACAACACACAGCCAAGGAAAACCATTCGAGACAGGTGGTACTGGAGTCATGCAAATGAAGGACTATATACGCTACAATCTGCATACAGTCTCCTAGCAACTGATAGTGGAGGGGAGAAACCATTCATCTTCGAAAATGCTGGAACCCTCTATTACCTGAAAGGGTTTGTGCTTTTAGTTGGTTTCTGGTACAAGGGCGAACACAGTGCAAGGAGAACTTGTTCAGAATAAACATTATCAAACAGGAAGATGACACATGGTGTAGTTTATGTGGGAAAGCAAAAGAGGAGGAGAATCATTTAATAATTTCCTGTGAATTTGCAACCAAGGTATGGGTGAAATGTTTTGTTTGGTGGAGGATAACTTACGTCATGCATAATAATTGTAAAGATGTCTTCAACCAGCATGCTTGGGCAGGTGGAAATCATAAAGGATGGCAGGTGGTTTGATTTGCTTTTATTTGGTCAATGTGGATGGCAAAAAATGATACAATTTTTGCGGATAAACATGTGACTCCAGAAACAATATTTTGAAATGATCCAAAAACAGTCTTGTTATTGGATTAGTGGCTGTTGTGATGGGAGCAATACTCTTACTCAGATTGGTGCCAAAATCCTAAAATGTACCGCATAATTAATAAAGCATTCTTGAAGCTGGAAGTTGGTGTAATGCTTATGTAATCCTTGTGAATTTTCATATATGAGTTAGCGTGCTTTTTGTATTTTAAAAATAAAATATTTTTAGTATTTTTTATAAAAAAATATAAATTATTTTTAAATTTTTAATTAAAAAAATAATTATTATTTTAAAATAATAGAAGTAGACCTTTTTCAGTTAGAATTTTTTTAAAGAAATAATAATTTTTTTATATTTTATATGAGATAAATATTTTTGTCATACTTGACCTTTGTTATTTCCTCTTGATTTTATTTTAATAATTCATCCTTTATTTTGGTTTTTTTTAATAATATAAATAAAAAATAAATTATCTCTAAATTCTAAATTTAAAATTAAAAGGATAATAAATGTATTGTTCTGTTTTGTTTTGGGTTTTTTTGACAAAAAAATATGTTTAGACATTTGAAAAAATGGTAAGAAATATATACACAGAATCAATTTCAATGGAAACAAATACGAGAAAATAGTAATCCATCAGGGTTTTTTCAGTTGTTTTAGTCTTTTAATTTTATGTAAATTAACTTAACAATTTTATATAATAAATAAATAGAAATTGAAAAAAAAATTGATTAAATAAAAATACTTAATAAGAACTACATATTGAAAGAAAAAAAGTTTAATTGTCATCTATTTATTATATAAAATTATTTAGTTAAATTTTATTTAAAATTCAAATTAAAATACTAAATCTAACTAGAAAAAGAAAGAAATATCCAAAATTAATTTTGGTAATAACAACAAATATTAAAAATAAGCAACCCACATTCTTTCAACCTAAGTCCATTTATAAAAGTAGGCTAACGTCTGTCTTGTGTTAACCAATTTTGACACTTATTACAACATAAAAATGATTTATTGAGAATTTTTTATTTTAATTATAAATTTTATAATATTATGAACTATACAAACAAATGGATGTTTCATGTTTTACCTTTTACCTTTCATCTTCATCTTACATATTCCACTTAACTTCATTTAGAGTTTCACTAAACAACATTTAAGGATCCACTAAGCTTCATTCAATTCTCCACTTAGTGACATTTAGGAAATTATTTAAGTTCATTTATTAAAACTATGAAACCCCTATTTTCGATTAACCTATATATAGACTTGTATTGTAAGAAAAATGAAAAAATAGAAGCATACTTCTAAAACTTTTCTTATTGTCATATCTTCTCTTTTTATCTTATCTTATTCTCTTACCCTTATCTTTCTATATTCTTACTTTTGTCCTACTCACGTTTCTCTTATTTTATTATATACAACATGATGATTCACTTTTTAAGTTGTGCATGCGTTTAATTTTTGAACTTATTTTTTATACACTTTTAGTCCTTTGGGTAACTCATTGTCTAGTTAATATGGTATGTAAATCAGACTTTTAATTTCAATGATTCACCTTAAAATCTTAAAGCGCTTAGGTTTATTGGTTGGGGTTTTGACCCCACCAACACTTTGGAAAAAACCTCTTTCCCCTAAAATGTAAACTATTCAAAAATATGACATTCCAATTGGAAGAGAAAGATAAGATTAAAAAAGGCAAAGAAAGAGAGAAACCTATGTAGTAGGATTGGGTGTATTTCGATTTAAAACCGAATAAAAAAAATGAAATAATGAACCAAAATTAAACAATTATATTGGTTAATGTAGTTTTACACTAAATTAAATGAACCAAAATTTTGGTTCAGTTACTGTTATATTTTTAAATATAAATCCTTTAAATATAATGATGGTTAGATAAATCCTTTTTAAATTGTATAAACAGAAAAGAGCTTCCAATTTAACCAAACTAAAAAACAATTTTGATTTAACCAATAAACTCAAACTGAACTAAATTTTTTAATGCAAAAACCGAAATTTAGTTTAAAATTTTCGTAAAATTCAAAAATGTGGTTAAAATCAAATCAAATCAAAATTTTGAGTTAAATCAAAAATGTTTTTAGTTTGTGGCCAAACTACATCAATGCCCAGCTCTAACCAGTAGGACCATTACTGTAAATGAGTCATGTTAAGTTTCTTAGAACTCAATAATGATGAATAAACCTAAGTTTTAGTTTATGATAAAATTACATATACTTTTAATTATAAATTTAATGTTCAATCTCTAATTACTATGTAAAAAAAAAGAGCTCAATTAACTAAAATAGGATATAATATATCTAAGAAGATTTAAATTAAAATTAAAATTAAAATTAAAATTTTAAATATTTAATATATAATTATTTTTTAATATAATTAAATTATATTTAAATTACGAACTCAACAAATCCACCTTGAACTCAATCTTTTGAGCTTAGTCTCAAGTTGGAGTTGGGAAACTCAACTCTTTTATGACTTTGGTTACTGTATAGTAGGGGAAAAGAGAAAAGGTTGTGGGCTTGAACCAAATTTTGCAATTAATATCGATATTTTAATGAGGAATGGAAAGGTGGATCCTACTTACTGTTATCACGAATTTTGGCATAGTTGAACGAACGGTGTTGGTTGCCTATTTTCAATTTGTCCAGCGATATTAAAATATTGAGTTGACAGTTTAATGTTGGCATATAGCGTTAAAACAAACGACTCTACGCAACGACATCCAACCACCAAGAGAGGACGCTGGGAATATGTACTCTGTATGTAGCTGCTCTTGAATGCCGCTCCAAAGAAAGTTTTTTAATTTTCTCAATCAAGGAATGGGTCGCCACCCAAAAATGTAAATTTATAATGTGTGGTACTAAATAAATTAATGTATATAATTAAATTCTTTGATGGTATCGTTTTCATAATGGTAAATGCCAGAAAGCTCTGCACAATTTGTATGGTGGTTTTTTTTTTTTTTGTATTGTTAGCTAAGGTATTGGTATGTAACTGTTTTTTGATAGGTAAATAAAAATTACATTCATAATATAAATTTTTTAGACAACTCATATAAAAAGATTTCAGTAGACAAAAACAGGGAGCATATAAGTGTCCATATCCAATCTCACTTAAATTTATCACTATGAGATTTTCATATAATATAAAAATATAATAAAAAATATGAGAACCTCAACCCTCATATAATTTCTAAGAATATAAACCCTAATAACTAACTTAGAAAACCACTTGAGAAAACTGACTTCTTACCGTGTAATGGTTTTTAGAATTTCTTGAAAAATATTTTCAAATTTAATATCGTAGATAACCAATAAACACCATATATTATATAAATTAATTAACTATGCAGACAGCTCCATTTGAAACCTGAGGATAAAAATTTTTATTGAAAATTTAAAGAAAATAAGAAAACTTAAAGGCAGAATGGCTACCCAAATTTTAGGGCGAGAGAGCATACCTAGGAAGATTTTAGAAAACTTGCCGCCTATGAAAGGAGAAGAATGATGGGGGTTAGGATTTTTTTTTTTTTTTCTTGGGAGTGAAGAGGCCGTCAAATATTTTTTTCTATTAGTTTGAAATGAATGTATCTAAATTAGAGTACGTCTTCTACTTTATTAATTTAATAATTCATTTTTTTGCTATTTAAAAAAAAAAAACCAAGCATAAACCCCCAAATAAATATAGTTAATCACATATATATATATATATATATTGAAACATAATTGTAAGTTTACAATTCAATATCCCTATACCATTTTCGAATGTGAAAATGCTTCAAACCAATGGTTTGTTCCTGCAATCATCTTGTTGTCTGCCTCTACTTGGAATCATTCCAACTCCGGAAGGTTTAGATCTTTTCATTCCATTTTTATTTTTCAAAAGGAAATTGAAGAGTGTTGGTTACAAATTAATTCACAATCATATATATGACAAACTTCTTGAAATTTTTAAACCTTATATCCTTGAGTAGTCCATTTCAATTTTTTTTCTTGAGTAAGACTTTGAGATTTGTTTCCCCATCCCCTTAAATTGCTTAACGAAGGAAAATTAATATTTGGCACGGCAGTGACATTTTAGGATACGTTAAAATGAAGTTTCATAATCACAAAAGCAATGTTTCCTCACCACAAATGTAGTTACGTATATTTTTAATGTAATTTAAATATCCAGAACACAATATTTTTCTTGTGAACAATTCTTAATTAATCATTTCAATCATTTTGCAAAGTAGAGTTTTAGGCTTTTAGCCATCTAGGTTGTTTATGCAAGTTTTCCCTTATTCATACCTACAAGTTTTCCCTCATATATATTAAAGAAAAATCGAAATCTAAACTAAAAAGGGGGGAAGAAAATCGAAATCATGACTGGATGCAAGGAAAAAGAAAAAAAAAAAAGAAAAAAGGAAATCCTAATGCATTTTGGGTCAATTGACCGAGAAGAACACTTCCATATGACATCGACAATTTCTATCCCACTCTCAACGTGAGGAGGCCCACTGTTTGGCAAATGGGGCTTCTCCATAAGTCCATAGTCATCCTAGTTGGGCTCTTGATGAGCTCTTGATGAGGATGGGTCAATCCTACAATTTGGATTGGGCCAATCTCTCTATCTCTTTTTCTTTTGTGGAGACTGGAGGATTTTTTGTCAAATTTTCTTTGTATATAATGTAAAGGAAGTTGTCCTTATATTTTTTTTAAATGATATATTTAACATTTTATTTTTTAATTAAAATTTTTAAAAATAGTTCATTGAATTAAAAGTTTTATTCATATAAATCATATATGTTAATTTTTATATTAATCTAATACTTATAATATTTTTATTAAAAAGAATTTATTTATTAATATATATTTAATAGTATTATATTTCTTGTAATTGACGAAATGGCCGTTAGACAAACATACTAGAACAATTTGAAAATTTACATGTATAATTTATATAAATAAAATTTTTAATTCAATATTGGTTTTTAAAAATATTAATTAAAAAATGAATTTTTAGTATGTCCTCTAAAAAAATTTTAAGAGAACGATCTACAAAATACTTTATATATATATGAATAGGGATTCACTTATATACAAATTTTACACATTATACTTGCACAAAATCTCAACATTCATCTCTCAACTTTTAATAGTTAAAATTAATTTACATTAATTAAACATAATTATTTTTTTCACCTAAAAAATAATGAAAAATCTCAATCATTGAAAATAAAGAGATGAATAGTTGAGATTTTGTACAAATATGGTGTATAAAACTAGTAAGTGAATGTATCCATTCTCTCTCTATATATATAGGTTTAGGGGGCGTTTGGTTTATTTTTCTAGGAAATACTTCATTTTAGGATTTTTGTAAGGATATTTTGTTAGTTATACATTTTAAAACTACAATAAATAAAGGGAAAAAAGTAGTATTTTTAACCTTAATTTTTCTTAATATAACTTCTAATCTTTAATTTTTTTTCTCACCTTTTTTTCAAGAAAAAAAAGTTTTCCAATAATTTTGCCTATATTAAACTCACCAACTTTTTTTATATGAATTTTTTACCAAATATAACAAAGTTAACATTTCAATAAAACTTCATTACAAAATTTAATAATTTTCTTTACATTATTCTCCAACATTCTGCAAAACACTTTTTCAACTACTTTATGAAAAAGTTTATTCTAACCAAACACACCCCTTAAGGGTAAGGAGCCACCATCTAAAATCTTTCGCAAGATTACTGGTAAAACAAATGCCCAAATCTACCCATAAAGTTTAGCGGTAAAACAGAGTCATCCCTATACTAAAAAGTGGGAGACAAAGCCCCACACAAAAGTTTCGTTCTAGACAACGTCAACTATGCCCATAGGTTCAAACAAATGCTCTATTTTGCTCCAACAATTTGCTTGGATATCACCGGGAGAAGAAAACGTCAAGATTTAAACCTCCTAAGCCAATGTCTGTTTACACTTTACATGCTGGTTGGATATTGCTAGGAGAAGATAACTATTAAAAAGAACATATTCCTAATTTCAAAGTTTTATAAGTTTACCCTTTCATAATTTGGGTCTATTACTTTATAATTTAAACTATATTAACTGCAAAACATTACTAATTATTGAATGAAAGGATTTTCATCCATTGTTAGAAACCCCTTCATCCAATTGTTAATGTTTTATAATCTTGATTGTACACCATATTTTCATTTTTTGTTCTAGTTTAAATAAGTAATGTAATTGCCATTACTCCAACTAAACAAGACCTCTTTGTTTATTATTACTACCCCATGTAACAGCCCGTGCAATGCATGTTACTAAATGGATGCTTCTTTGTGTGTGCACCAAAAAACACCGCTGGTCCTGTAATCAAAAGTCATGCTGGTTCTCTAATCAAATGTCTCAGAGCGTATAGATTGGGTATAAATATACTACATAATGCTTTTACAAAGACGTAAATGTTACTCCCTCTATTTTTCAAGTTGTCCCACTTGAACTGCACGGTGATAGAGGCAACCTTAGCATGAGTTAAAGTTATTGTGTGAAAATACCACGTTTACACTTTTATCATTCTAGCCTTTTTCACAAATCAACTTCAACCTAGTAGGCAACCTTGAAAACATTTGCCTAACACTAAATTGTTTGTAATGCAAATCATATTCATAATATGTTGTTAACAATAATGGCTTACAGCTCACATTGTAATCCAACAAATTGTTAAATGTGACAAGCGGTGGGTGACAAAATTGATAATACAATCACAACAGGCTTGAAAATCACAAGAACATATTTTAAGCAAAGATGTTATATTTTTCTTTTGGTACAGCCATGCATGGACAAGGATTTTATATTACAATTACACGATTTGTATCAAGACTACCAGTAACAAACAATGATGATTTTTCAGGCTCTATTATTAAAAGGCAGAAAATCACTAGCCAATAAACTAAAGTCTTGAACCAATCTGAATATCCAATTTCCGAATAAATGAAGCCCGATCAACAAATCCTTCTAATCTCATCTCTAAGCAATGTAATTAGGATCGGCATTAAAGAATAATCATCCACTTGTGCAATACAAGGTTAGAACTAAGATGTACCCTTTTGCTCCTCTTCAGTGTCAATCAGCTTTACAGTTGCAAGAGGATTATCACTATAACTGTGCAAAGGAACCACCATAGTTGAGCTGGTCTGCCACTCAAATAAGCACTACTGAAGTCCGGTGATACCGATCCAGGTTCTGGGGCAATGCTTGGCTGAGGTAAGTTACATGCTCCAAAAGTCATATTTGCCTAGAGCAACCAATTAAACAATAGTCAGAAATTTAAATATAGAGAAACTTTCTATCTTATGATCACTGTATAGAATAGCATGGGTTGGGTGTAATCAACAATTGTTATGATAGAGTGACTTTTGAGATGCTGGATTAGCAAGTCTTCAGTACAGACCTTGCAGAGGGAAATGTTATTGCATCCACAAACTAGTTGACCATTTGTTGCATCTACAGCCTCTGGTGCACCCCCACCATCACTCCTCTGAAATGTAAATCTATGAGTCAATGGTAAGTGTACCTAATTGGGTAATTTTTCTTGCCTACTCTTGCTTATGGCAAAAACAGATAGTATTCTACCATCCATACCTTGTAATAGTCAACAGCAATGAAGTTAGGCCATCGTTTGCTGGATGCTTCATAGCATGTGTCAACCATGCTAATCAAAGGAGCAGAATTGTGCTTGCAGGCTTGGGTTATGTCTGGTGCACTGGGAAAGTAGTTCACTAAAACCAGTGACCTCGATGTTGTGTTCATAGTAGGTGATTCTGCACGGTTTGGACATGAACCGGCTACCATTCCACCATTTCCATCTGTTATTTCAAGATGCATCAACATTATGTTTTTTCGAATTACATTTTTCCTCATTGCATCAGTAACATATTCAATACATAAGAATAGTAATAGGACTCACATTGGTTTTCTACCATGTATCTCCATTGATAAGCTATTCCTTCGGAAGCCTCCTTGGCTGACTTTGAAGTGAAAACCAGTAAACGTTGATTACTTTGGACCATGTCATCAACTGTTGGCCAATCTCCACCATTTTTTGGCATTCGAGACACAGGAAACCAGAATTTCCTCAGACCAGCAGCATCAAACACTTTAGTCAGGCCGTTTGTGGATGAAACATAGTCCTCAATGATAATGGTAACTATTTCTGATGGGTTTGCTTCAAGAAATGCCTGAATTTCCTTCAGAACATTAATTGCAGGTTGCTGGTAAATTGGATGAAAGATCAGTTAGTCATAGAGAATGAAAGCTGTCAGCAGCAATTATAATTGATACATTTAACAGGCATCTTAAAGCAGCTTATGGAAAACTCTATTTTGGAACACAGAGAAAAAGATTCAAATATAAAGGAATCACCTATATATCAATAAAATTCATCCGAAATACAACAATAGAGAGTTTGACATTAAGTAAAAATTTTGCACTTGGTAGAAATAATCTAACTGTTGTCTTTAAATGTGACAATGAACACTTACAAAAGCTGTATAGTTGTAGCATTTTCCTCCAAAGGAATGACACAACCAGATGTCATTCTCAAAATCATACATATCGAGCATGAATCCTCTAACACCATTCTGCAAGAAAAACACTTTGAACCTTAGGTTAATTGAACAAGAACTACTTATGAACTGACAAGTTATGAATTGAGCAATTTCCTAGAGGTAATAAAACATGAAAAGGGCAGAACTTTATTTATTGTCTTACATACTCCAAACACATTTATCTTAAACTACAGGGTGCTATGCAAGTTGGAATTTCCAATTTTAGCAACATGAATAATAACATTACATGTAAGCCACTATCTATTTCGAAGGAAAAGAGAAATCCTCATTCCCCTGCAGTGAATGTATGGATATCAAGGTTCGAATTATTTCTTGGTAATATATAGCTGCTGATGGGTATGAACAAATGTGCCATCAGTCTTTAGCCTGGCTAGCATTTGCAGGATGTGAGAGCACATGCATTTTATTTTCTCAACTACCCTAATCTTTATTAAAGAATCACCTAGCTGAATTCTCTGACATTTGGGATTTTATTTTTGAGGTGAACAAAGTACCTTTATCGCTTTCCTTACAAAAAGGGGTAATTAATTGCTTATATTATAAAACAAGCATGTTAGCCATACTTTCCAAGTCACAATAGATTGTTTATCTTGCACTGGACAAACTAGGAATCACATGGGAACAACACAAATTTCAAAATCTTTGCCCTTAGAAGGGATGTCTGACGGAAGACCCCATTGAGTCTTGCTTCAGCATCACAACAACAATGATTGCATTCCCCTGGTCTTTTTTTTATTCTTTTAAAAGATTCTTATCCTTGCTTTTGAGTTAGAGAAAATGAGACTGAACATTAATGCATAATGATCAAAGTCAAAATGTCCCTAATACAGATAATTTTATTTAAAAAGAAAATGGGAGTAGGTGCAGACCTTTCAAAAAGAATTTAATTTAAAAACATCGTTGAAATTTATAAATGTAACCTAAACAGTCATGAGAATATCCGAGAAGAATTGTAAACAAGAAATAGAGATTGTATAAATTCCTCCTCTTCTCAACTTTTAAGCAAGAAATGTTCAGGGAATTCTCCATTTTTTTTCTTGACTAAAAGCATATTTTCATATCTTATATTTTAATATCCCAAATATTAGGTGCATCACTTACAACAACGATCTAAGCAAGCCAACTAAAATAGCAGTAGATATAATAATATATAGTTAATTGCATGTCAAATTCATTTTTCAGCACAAAGGTGCCATCTAGTAAAGTTGACAACCAAAGTCATACCTTTTAAAGTCTTTCTCTTTCCTCTCACCCTAATAATCCAGTTTATAATAAATGTTATAATTGTAAGTGCATAGTTTTGAAAATATATTCTCCACCTCATACAAGTTGTCCATTGTATCCAACAGATATTCTATGGCAAATCCCTTGGCATCGTCAACACAAAAATCAATTTCATTTCGGAACAACACGGACCAATGAATTTAGTACCAATACATTTGTCCTTTTATTTTTGACGCTCCAAAGCTTTTCTATCCACTAAACATATAATATTCATAAAAAAAACTTAGAAACACCGCCAGACCAACTAGAACCTAAGATTGAAACTTCTTTAATTGATAATTTATTGAGAAAAATGGGAATCAAAGAAATAAGAAGAAACAGTAGAATACTGTAGCTAGATTTTCTTAAAAATAAACCATCCCCACTCAATTCATTAAAAAAAACTACGATTCTGGGTTTTCAATTTCTTTTCCTCTTTGGAAGGGTAAATATGGGAACATACAAGATTGAGAATAAGAAGACATACGTCGAGCTGACTGGTAATGGAGTCCTGCTGATTTGAGGGAGCCAGAATCAAAGATCCTGTCGCCGACCTCTCCCCCAACCTGGCGAACGAATTGTGCGTCGTCAGCCACGAGTACCGATTGAACGGCAACCCCTTAACCTAACCCACAACCCAAGAAAACCGCACACAGTTTACATATCTATACAAGCCATAATGTATGTATGTATAAAAGTAAGATATGAATGAATGGTAAGGACCTTTGAAGTGGGGTTTACAGGCTGGATTCTGGTGCATCTGGGCCGCAGGTTTCCATTAGCGACGCAGGTCTCACAGTGCAAACCGGAGTCACAGTTGCTATCTCCAACGCATGTCTGTCCCTCCTGCTCAAAACCCAAGTCGGAAATGATGAAAGGAGAAATGGGTTTTTCTAAAAATTTCATTTTTCCTCACAATCACGCACCTTGAGAGCAGAACAAGAGCACAGAAGAAGGGCAGAAATGAACAACAGTTTGCTAATGGACTGCAAATGAAAATTCAACAAAATCAAGTTCCTTGATAAAGGAAAAGCGAATGAATAAGGAAAAAGTGAGAACGGAGAGAATCGGTTACCTCCATTGGTGGCTTTCTGGGTTTGGTGTTTTGCTTTTAGAATTTCTTTTGCTCCATTTATAGCGGATAAGAAGTTTGATACTTCTGACCGTTGAGTTTTTAAAGGGAAGTAAAGAAAGGAGATCGATAGATTTTTTTTTTTTTTGATGGAGAAGATGGATAGATTTTAAATTACTACGACTACATTGCCTATTTTCCAAAAAATACAACAACTTAAAAACTTTTGCAGTAAAAAACAGAGCAATGATAATGCGCGGCGATGGATTTATTAAAAAACAAAAAAAAAAATTTTTTGAATAATTTGTCAAGGTGGGCTCGAAACTCGCCCAATGGAGAAGGAAAACGCATTTCAAGTTTGGTAGGGTGCCTGTTGGCTTGTAGGATCAAGTGTAAAGAAAAAATAAAAATAAAAGAAAAAATAAAATCCTATTTGATACATCTTTTACTACAATATGGTATAACATTGAATAAAAGTAAATGGGATGAGTTAAAAAAATAATAAAATAAAAATAAAAGTAAACGGGATAAAAATTTAAATTTAAAATTTAAAATAAATGATGTAGCATATGATATAATATTTAAAAATTAAAAGATAAATTTTATATTATTTAATAATTAATTTTTTAATTTATAATATTATATGTATCAGTTAATTTAATAATATGATATATGTTATATGATATACATTTTATTATTGGTTTAAATTTTTATTTTTTTTATTATTATTGTGTAATATTTATTTAATTTAGTTATTAAAATATAATTAATTTAAATAATTTTTATATGCTGATTACGATTTTAAAAATGTCTGTCATGTATTAATTTTAAATTAAAATTTTTTTAATAAATATATTAAATAAAAAAATAACAATTAATATCAGTACAGATTACACTGCACAATTAAGGCAGTTAAATGGAGGGCAAGTGACGTTGGGGTAGGGTTAACGTTATGGCTATTAAAAATAATAAAATATTATTTCTAAAAAAATTAATTTTTTATTTGATATATAAAAATAATTAATGACTTTTATTATTAATTATTAATTAATTAAATAATTAATATTTATTAATTAAAAATTAAAATTAATTAATAAATTAATATTTTTAAATATTATTGAAAAAATTAATAATCTTCACATTTTTTATGTTCACA